TCAGCACGTGCGCTGTGAGAGTAACGGGCGTTTGATGCCCAGCCCTCCGCTTCTGAAGATTAATGGAGCTTTATTAACTTTATGTCTCCACTCCACTTTCCCCTCCAAATTGACTTAAAAAAAGGTCCTTCTCTGTGTTGGTCGGCTTAAAGACCAGGGCGGAGCCAGAGATGGGTGTGTGTGGGGGAGAGTGGCAGCCGGGGGCTGGGAAGCACTGGCAGCGATGCCGGGCGGGAAGGGAAGTGAAACGCGAGTCACATGGAGGTCGCCTGGGAAGAAAGGATTCCACGTGGCCTCTGCCTCAGCTTTCCGTGTTCACAGAGCCCTTTGTTTCGACGTTTCGCCGAAACATAGAAACGTGCACAGATCGCAGTGTGTAAGCTTGATTTCCACCAACTGAACACACCTGTGCATTCAACCCCCAGCACGAGAACGTCCCCGCAGAAGCAACCTTTGGTGCCCGCCTTTGCCTGTTGGCATGAGTGGAGTCATATACAGGGTGTTATTCTCCCCCTCCGCACCCCCTCCGCCATGGGCACACACTTCCACGGCTGGGAGCTCATTTTTGAGAATGAAATGTATTTTAATAAACACTGCCTCTGTCATTATTCAAAGTGTGTAGATACATTTTTTTTTTTTTAAAGCCTGGCTTATTGTGATCAACATTGTAAAATCCTTCTGTAATGTTGCTTATTCTTGTAGGTCTCCACTCGCATAGTATCCCATTTAGGGACATACTATGGACAGATACAAGTAAGCTCACAGGTACTGATCCTGAGTTCCTAACTGGGGAGGTATGGGTGGGTGGTCACACGCCACACCTGCAGCTTCTTTAAAACATTAAAACATTAACACACACACACCCACACACACACACACACATCAGGGTATAAGGTGGACATGGGGCCGGCAGTGAACAGGTTTAAACCGGCCCTGTCCGTCATTTCTGTGCATCTGGGTGAACACATCTTTGAAAGAAGCCGAAACCACCCCCAAGAAAAGCACACAACCTTGTTCATTACCCTGTAATCCAATCCCCACCTTTCTTTTATTTTTTAATATTTTATTGATTTTTTAGAGAGAGGAAGGGAGAGGGAGAGGGAGCCAAAAACATCCAGAGAGGGAGAGAGAAACATCAATCAGCTGCCTCTTGCACATCCCCCACTGGGGATGTGCCCGCAACCAAGGTACATGCCCTTGACCGGAATCGAACCCAGGACCCTTGAGTCCACAGGCCAATGCTCTATCCACTGAGCCAAACCAGTCAGGGCCCCACCTTTCTTTCTCCCACCTCCAGGCAATCTTCCTTAGCTCCCTCCTTTATCTCAGATGCATGAGAGAAGCTACAAAACTGTTACTGTCAGGAGCATTCTGTGGTCTTATTCCCTGGTACATGTCATCGGTTTGGCTCAAATAAACTCATAAAATGTCTCTACAGGTTTGGACGTTTCTTACATCGGACATTTATCCCTTCTAATGCTGCGGGACATTTGGATAATTTCCCGTTTGGGAGTAGTGCTACTCTGATCATTCTATCCATGTCTTTTGGGATCACACTCTGTATTTCTGTTGGTCATCTCCTCGGAGTGAGAATGCCAAGTCACAGCATATGCACCCCTCCGGCTCTCCTAAAACAGTTTCTAAGAGGAACGTACCTCTTTACCCTTCTACCCGCACTGATCCAGACTCTGCCAACACGAGGTATTTGCAGGCTTTTAAATGTCAGTCATTCGTGTGGGTACCGTCGGAATTGTGTTCTGGCTTTAAGAATGAGCAACAACACCAAGCACAAGGCCCTGTGTTCTGAGAGGCCAAGCGCACAAGACAACTCCTAGGTGTAGGGACCAAAACCTGCCCAGGGGATTTGTCTTCTGTTTACAGAGTCTCACTTGGTTTAGGCCTGCACTGAGGGCGAGGAGTTGGAATGTTTCCCTTATGCCTAAACCGTTCAGCTCAAACCAGCTGAGCCGAAGCCCGGCGGTAACCAGCAGACCGTGGCCTGCCTGGGTGAGCTGCGAGGGCCGGCATTCACGGCAGAGGTGTGGTCCGCGAGGCTCCAGCCACGTCCTCAGGGTCTGAAGACACACGGTACCCCACCTGGCACGGCATTCCCTGCACACGGCGATGTCCTGGGACAGGACAGAGGTAACTCTCAGTTACGTGTTCCAGTGTCAGCTTCCTTCCAGCCATTTGTCTGCGGGAACCCGCTCGGACCCCCGGGCTGACATGAAGATGGTTTTAAACGGAAGACATCTGAGATGCAGCCGACGCCAAAGGCAGCCTTTTCAGAGCCTCTCTTATCTGACTAAAGGCAGAACCTTCTGAGAGCCAGGCCCACCCACAGCCCCCTCCGAGGGGTTCTGCTGGCCACAAAGAGAACGGAGGGAGAAAAACCAAAAACACACACACACAAAGCGCTCACAGCTGCATCAACAAACATCACCACCAACTTTCTTCCCTCTGTCCCTCTAACACCCAGTCTCTGCATAACAGCCTTTCTCTCCCGGCCCTTATATTTATAATTAATATATGGAAATTATATTATAGGAGTCACTTATTTTGTGTTTTATATGCATGTAAGTTCTGTCTCTCCCATTATCTTTCTGTCAGCGAACCTGCAGACTCCTAACTCTGAATCTAAACCGCTGAACTGGTCTCCTTCCCAACAAGCCTCTGATTGACAGCAGCCCCATCCGCTTGGCGCCCCTCACCCCTCACCAATCCTCCGCCCAGTCAGCGCAGCTGCTCTGCTCACCCACACGCTTTTCAGTCTTCCGACGTGAGCGCCCAGGGACCCGTGCGCCCAGGGTCTGGGGGGAAAACCAAATCCATTGCTAAAGCCGAGCGCTCATCAGTGTCTGCGGCCGTTTTCCTTGTCCACCCAGGGCCCCGGACACACACCCAGCCCCCCAGCAGGCTGGGCCCAGGGCCTCTGCTGGGAGGGAGAGAGGTATATGGAGGGGGGGGGGAGGGAGGGAGGGAGAGAGAGAGAGAGAGAGAGAGAGAGAGAGAGAGAGAGAGAGAGAGAGAGAGATGTGTGTGTGTGTGTGTGTGTGTGAGTGAGTGAGAGAGTGAGAGAGAGAGAGAGAGAGAGAGAGAGAGAGGTGTGTGTGTGTGTGTGTGTGTGTGTGTGTGTGAGAGAGAGAGAGAGAGAGAGAGAGAGAGAGAGAGAGAGAGAGAGAGAGAGAGAGAGAGAGGGGTGTGTGTGTGTGTGTGTGTGTGTGTGAGTATTTAGGAGACGCCAGGACTCGGACCTTTACCCTTGGAAAAGACACCCTCCTCACAAAGACACCCTCCCCCTCCTCTCCCAGCGGACCCTTGGCCAGGGGCACGTGGGCCCGGCCAGACCAGCTCTGGGGAGGGCTCCGCTGGTGCTCAGTGTGGGTGTCCAAACAGCAAACAGAAAGGGGCTGAGGCATAGCCTTCCGTCCTCCTCCGGAGGGCGTGGAGCTGTGTTCGGTGCTGCCGGTGTCCTGGCTCCAGCCTCGGCTCCCGGCCCAGGAGCCAGGGCGCCCGGGCTGCACCCCAACCCCCTCCCCTCACACCTCCCGACCCCTCACTCCCGGCCCGCGCAGCTTACCTGCCGGGCTGCAGTCAGGAGCGATGGGCGGCCCGACGCGCCAGGCCCCCTTGGGTGGAGGGGCGGGCGAGGGGGGCGGACTGGGGTGCCGGCCTCCGGCCTCCGCAGAGGGGATGATATGGGGCAGCGGGGCTCCCCGGGCCCGGACGCAGCGCCCAGGGACCCGCAGAGGCAGAGAGGCCCGCGCGGCACCCACGCGCAGCTCGGCTGGGGCCTAAAGCCCAGAGTTAAAACACAAAACACCTGCGGCCCCACCCTCACCCCCACCTTCAACCCCACCCCTAACCCCATCCTCCCGGCCAATGGGCGCACCTGGCGCCGCGCACCTGCAGGTCCGGGGCGCGCGGGCCTCTACGTGGCCTCAAAGGACGGAAGCTTCGCGCGTCCCGAGTCCGCAGGGGATTTTGAAAATACCCATTAAAAAAAAAAAATCAGAGAGAGCCTCGTGTAAAAAAGATGATGAAACAAAAGGGGGCATACTCACGTTTCCACTGACTTTCCTGGTTTTGATTTTGGAAATCGGTTTCATGTGGCAAGTGCCGGCCATACAAGACCGACGGCCCCCTCCAAGCCTGGCCCCGGAGGCAGGGTCCCCCGTCCGCCCGCCACCTCCTCCCGCTGCACAGCACGTGCTGTGTCCGTGGTGTTTGGGGGTGAGCGCGGGGGGAGGAGGGAGGGGAGTGCTGCGAGCTCATCCACTGCAAGCACCGCGGCCCCTTCCTCCCTCCTCCATCCCTCCCTCCCTCCTCCCTCCAAACCCCAATCAACCAAAGTGGACGCGCTCCGCAGGTGCCACGAGACTCCTCCGCGAATGCAAAGGATGACAAGCGTCAGTGCTTCGTACAACTAGATTTAATAAGTTGTTGTTACAGAAAAAAAAAAAGGAAGTCCAAACTACAAAGTTTAAGCAGTTGAAGCAGTAGCTGCTTTGAGCTCCGTGTGTAGTCACAGTACTGCAGTTTTCCATACAAGCAATGTTACTCCGAGCCCCAAAGGCAGAAGCTGAGTAAGGGTTACTAGCAAAAACAATCTAAAGAGAACAGGTGATAAAAGATACAGTACATTTAAAAGTAGCTGTTAGTCGGAAAAAACGAATACAGAGACCTTAGCGGTGAACACTCTAGGAGTTATGTCCATTGTTTTGACAGCAAAAAAACACAAATACCTAATACTTTATACCCCAACAGAACTAGATCCAGAAAAGAAAGAAGAGCAGACGTCGTCCCGTGTTAGCACCCGAGTTTTCTACCGGTGGCGGTTAACCTCACCGTCGTACCAATTTAAACATCCCCGAATCATATATGTCCACTTCTTGACCCATTTTGGGGTATAAAGTCAACAGCATGAATTATAAAATACTCTGTGGTAAAATGGATCACGATTGCAGCTGAGATAGAGAAGTTTGGTTATTGTTTAAGAAAACAATAAAAGAAACAGAAAATGTTAGCTGACATACCAAACAGGCGAAAAAGCAACAATCCATACACATAAGCCAGTTTTAACAAAAAGACACTTTTTTTTTGTTTGTTTTCACTAATCTGTGACTAATCTTTCACTCAAACCTTGCAAGTAGAGATGTCACAATACTCAAATAGGTAGGTAGGAGCCTTACCCAGTTAAATACCATTGTGTTGCTAATACAATAAGAGATAAAATGAAAACTAGCAGTTATTTTGCTAATTGCATCGATGCAATACATTCTGCATTAGCCCATGCCTCACTACACAAGCTATAAAACACAAGTTAGAAGCAGAAATCTAAGCGTAATCTTTATACCACTAAGCGAGAATTTTTTCCAATTTCGTTTCTTCTGTTCCTAATCACTTATCGGTGAGTTAATGTAAAATTCCAACCAGGAATACCCACTGTGAGTTAAAATTTTACATCACGACTTGATCTAATCTATATAGTATTTACAAAACTGAACACAGAGAGCATACCGAGAGCCAACGCTGGACAGCCGTTTCTCCGAGCCATGGACCGCCCCGCCTCCCGGGCAGCGGGGCCGGAAGAGGCCATCAAGGACCGGTAGAAACACACCTTCGATCTAGAGCAAATCATTGGATGTTCTGTTTACGCAACACCAGTTCTGCAGTCGTATGTCGTCGTTTTTGTGTGTGTGTTTTTTTTTTTGTCGTCTTAATTTTAGGTGCCATTCTGATGGCTCGCCGCCATTCACAGCACAGCTCCGAGGTGAGGTGGGTGTTTGGAAAAGAAGCAGGAAGGCAGACAGATCATGCTCAGAGGGTTGCCAGATGGGTGGCCACAGCGAGGGACGATGAGGGGGGACAAACAAGGGGCACCAGAGCAGGGAGCAGGCGGGAGGTGAAGGGCGATGAAGTCGGAGACTGTCCACGACCGTGGTTGACGGCTGAGAGTGCAGGACCAGGGAGACCCTGCGATCCGCTTCTAACTCCCCAGAAGGCGGGGTCTGTCCTCTCAGCAGCTTCTGTTCACTCTCAGACGTCACCACAGGGAATGAATGGGGAAAGGGGTGGCCTGGCGAAAAGGCATCGTCTCACTCACACATGGACAGCAGTTGGGGGCAGATTCACACACACACACACACACACACACACAACATAATGAAGAGTCAGAGGGGGAAGCAATGAGTCGTTCTGTTGACCTGGCCAGGTGTCAGCCTGGTGGTGTCTCACGAGGGTGACCGTGATCAGGGCCACAGACGCGGCTGCACCTGGTGTTGTATAAATCCACTGTGACATCCCTAGAGAACTGTACTGTGACATCCCTAATCTCACACTAAACCACTGTAACAAAGGAAAAGGCTTGTCAAAAATCTCACATGTTCTGCTCATTCTGTCATTTTATTACCCAATTATTCTTTACATAACCAACCGTTTTTTCATTGTTGTCACACTATTGTAAACCACATCAGCAAGTTAATACATAAAGCTTTGCATTTCAAAAAACTAGACACTTTAGTAACAATATTACAAAGGTTTTTAGCTTCAAAAATAACCGAAAATGAAAAAAATAAACTTTTAAAGAATTAGCATCATAAAATTAATTTATTCCAAGTAAAAATACAAAATAATATTATGACATTGACCAGATATGAAAGTCCCTCCCAGAAACAACTCTTATTAATGATTGAGAAAGCACTCCTTAAAGAAAATACGAAATAAAATGAAAAATATGTAAATATGTTTAAATTTTTTTCTTAGCAAAAAATCTCTCTAAAAATAACAATGAAAATTTGTCTCAGTACAAAGGCTACATTACTATTGAAAAAATACCAGCATGAAGAAAAGGTACATATTTGACAGTAGAAAAATGATTTCAGTGAATCACAATGTCTAAAGTTTGCAATGAAAATAAATCTGCAATAAAGATTTATGCCTTTTTTCTTTTCTTTTTTTTTCTATTTTTTTTTATACAAACAGTACAAACAGTATTGCACATAACAACAAAGAGTCGAGGTTAGGTTATAGCCTTCAAAAAATCGACTAGTTCAAGTGTCACATCAAGGAAAGGCCACTACAGGACCTGTGATACCCAGGGGCTTCCCAGTCAAGTTGCAGGTCAGAACACCTCTGTTTTTTAAAAAATAATTTTTTTTGAAGGACCCTCTCTTTTAATATAACATTAACAACTCGGGGGAGGAGGGGCACATTTATTTACAAAACAAAAGGGAACATGTTATAATTTAATAAACTAAAAAAGTTCTCTTTTTAAAAAAATACAAACAGAAGAATTCTTTCACAATCCTGGCCAGTCGTGCACAATCAACGCTTGATTATAAATATACAAATTAAGGGAAAGTAGTTTCCACCATCTATTCACAACTTTCAGCACCAAAATGGAGTTTATTTTTTGTAACCTATTCATGACAACGTTAAGCTTTCACGTGAAGCTTTATGCTGTACAATCTTCCAGCTTTTTTTGTTGTTGTTGTTTTTGTTTTTATTTTTAAATCTCAGTGTTATTTTAGTACATGAAAGAGGGGTGCTTCTTCAAAAAGTTTTGCTTCTCTCATATAATTAGGTAGATTTCTGTAGGTTAGATATGATCTTTAATATAGTTATAAAGCTCTAACTTCTTCATTTTCAAAAAACACAAATAAGCATGAAAAAAATAAAGTTACCCATCTGTTAAATCATTTTTCTTGCAGAATTAAATTAATATATATTTTTCTGAATAAACATACTTAGAAAATATCATTTTTCTCTCCTATATTTCAAAATTGAGGTATTGCAAAAAGATCATGTCAGTCAGAAAGCATGCCTTTTTCCTTAAAAACAAACAAACAAAAAAATCTTCAGCCAACTTTTGAAAACTGTCTAGAATACAAATAGTAGTAGTGCATAACAAAACTTCTTATACAGATGAAAAACAAAATAAAACGAAAAAAAACCCACAGACATAGAAAACAAACAACAGAAAGCCACAGCTGGGCTGGAAAAAAGCAATTCTTACCCAAAAGCCCAGAGGTAACCTCAAAAGGGGAGAATTTCTAATAAGCATTTTTAATCCAGTAAAAAACTATTTTGTTTTTCCTTTTTTTGGAAACAAACTATGGTTTTGAGAGCTGGTAATTGCAATGAAACACTGGAGAAACAAAACAAGCAATATTAACTTAAGACGGTACAAGGACATCACAGCACGGAAAACAGCGATTTAAACCTAGTCTGCAGTGTCATATCCAGTCAGATTGTCCCCAGATTTCCAAAACATAGGAAGAAGATTAAAAAAAAAAAAAAAATTCTACACAGTCTCACAATCATCGTGTGTGTTTATATATTACTATCTGCAGCCCAAGAGTGAATGCTAAAAAAATGTCCACGGTAGTATTTATTAGCAGGTCTTAATTCTATTCAAGCTTTACAGGATAAATCCAGGGAATTAAGTAGTGAATGTCTCACCCAGACAACCGACCCCTCCCCCCTAGGCCATCGTTTCTCGCACAGACATTTCTTTAGCATCACCGTCACGCAACTTTTCTCTTAAAGTGTGCCCAGCTTGTCAATCTGACAACTTATCTCTATAGACTGTATATATTCCTAGTGTTTGTAAGCTAAAGATGAGCTCTTTGGTTTTCTGGACAAGGTCTGAAGCTATGTAGTAAAATGGTGCAAGCACTAGGAGATTGGAACTAAGAGCTCATGTGTTAGTTAAGAGTATACCAGTTGTGAACTGTCAAGTTCACTAACGTCTGACACAGAGGCTTTGAAACAGTTAAGTTCGATCACAGTTAGACATAATCACTTTACTATATAAAATAAATTGCACGATATATAACAGAGCACCGCAAAGTACTTCATCTACCATCCACGAATTTGCTTTTAAGAATATCCTACACCTAGGTTGTATATTGGTTGTAATATAGGTCATTCTGTTATGGGATCTTCCTAATTTCAGAAGCATTCCATTTATTGAGGCATGCCTTCCTCCAGTCAATTACCAATTCTTTGAATGAAAAAAAAAAAAAATCTTGTTCTTTGTTTGTTTAAAAAAATCAGTATTGTATAGCTTATATAGATTCTTAATTTGTGCATTGTGGGAAGGTTTCATACTAGACATTGGATATAAAATTTATTGCATGCAGCAACCTGATTAAGTAAACATGCAGTCAGAAATAGTGACCTTCCGTTAAAGCCTCCTGAAGTCTCTTCTGATCTCCTTTCAGCAGTGGGTTCTATCCCTAAATCACTGACAGTGTGTTGTTGGGTTTTATTCATTGATACCTTAGCCTGAATAGAGTAGTATGGTATTAATAATACCATGTTTAATAGCAGCAAAAGCTATTGCAGCATAAATTTACGTAACACTAAGAGATCTAACTGAAATCCTCAGCAAAACAAAATCAAACGTGAAGGGGAAAAAAAAAATAAAGATTCAGCTTATGAGGTATCCTTACATGTCAAGATAAGAGAGCAACTAAAGGCTTATTTTCATGAAGGGTTGCATTACCCTTACTCTAAATGACCCCAACTAGTGATTGCTGAATTGTTGTGAAGTTTTTGCTACATCTGCCACCTGCTCACGAGTGTTCCCTTTGGTGAGTCTTCTCCTAGGGGCAACGCTCTAAGTTTCTGAAAATAAGTGCATGCTCCAGTTCAAAAACAATCGTAACAACAACAACAACACAACGGCAACAAACAAAAAAACCCCATAGACATCAGCCTGATGGCCGCTGATGAGAATGGCAGTCTACGTACTGTCACGAGGGACAAGGTCAGGTGTGAAGAAATGAAGGTACCAAGCAGACAAAAGGTGTGAATCAAAGTGCAAATCAGTACCGTTATACACTCTGCAGTTCTGCATTATACTGGACATGGAGTTCAGTAATATGACTGTAAATAATAATAATAATAATAATAATAAAAAGACCCATTTCTTCTTTAAAAATCGAGAACGAATGCACAGATTTCCAGAACACGGTAAGCCCTGAGGCGGTGCCCTCTCGGTTCCCTCCTCCGTCGTCGCCGCCAGGCCTGCCGCGGGCTCAGCTCCAGCGGAAGGGCACGTGGCGGGGGCGGTCGCCGCCCTCCTTCACCAGCGGCTTGTGGAACTCGCGCCCGGCGCGCGAGTGGATGCTGGCCCAGCAGTACTCGCAGTAGTACTGCAGGCAGGTGACGTTGGCACAGAAGAACGGGGCGAACTTGCCCCCGCAGCGCGTGCCCTGGCACTCGTCACACATCTGGTCGTCCAGCACGTATGGCTTCACTTCCACCTGCGCCGGAGAGGGGAGACAGACAGGGGAAAGGGTTAGTTAGCGAGGCTTCCTCCCGGGCCTGCTCCTTCCCAGACCCTGCGGTGGAGCTGCCGGGGCGTCTCGGGCCGATGCCACTGGCGACTCGGCTGGCGCCGGGCGGGCCGTAGCGGAGAGCATGGGCTTCGGGACCTGCCCCGTGACTCCTGGCTCCATCTTGTGCCGTGCGTGTCCTCCGTTTTGTGTAACTGTGTCGCTATGTGACCGGACCCCAGCCCTCACCCAACCCATCGGGGTCAGCCACAGCACTGGCCTCACCGCCCCTATAAATCCTCTATTCTGGAGAAACCCGCGCTCTCGCTCCGCCTCTGCCTCAGTGCACGTGGGACTGAGCTCGGGCTGGCCTGAATAAAAACTCTCTTGCTTTTGCATCGGACTCGGCTCCCTGGTGGTCTTTGGGGATCACAAAATCTGGGCAAAACAGTTGTGTGGCTGTAGGCAAATTCTCACCCCTCTGTGTGCTCTTCCTGAACTCTGTGCAGTGGGTGTAACATTCACACACACACACACACACACACACACACACACACACACATACACACACACTCCGTGGTCTCTCTGGAAGAGGGGTGAACAGTGTCTACCTCAGAGGGTCCTGGTGAGGAGTCTAAGGCAGCACCTGTCGAAGCACCTGGCTGAAGCCTGAAGGCCAGGCAGCACCAGACAATGCGGGGTGAGGAAGAGCTTTTCGGGGAGAGGAACCTGCCAGGACAGGGCCCGGAGCAGGCGCATGCAGGGCAGGTCCTCGGGGAAGGGGAAAGGTCTGGCGGGAGCCAGGCTGGGAGGTGGGATGGGGGCGACAGGGAGACAGAGGGGCCAGGCAGGGAAGGGCGTTGTGCCCCGAGGCCCTGGGCTTGGTGCTTGAAGGACATGGCTAACACCCCACCACCGAGTTCCTGTCTTAGTTTTTCTTTCTTAAGATGAAATGAAGCGTGTTTCAGGGAACAGTCCAGTGGCATTTAATGCTGCACAACCACTGCCTCTGTCCAGTCCCCAAACACTTCCACTGCCCAAAGGAAACCCCGAACCCATTCAGCAACCACTCCCCCGCAGCTCCCTGGCTGCAGCCGATCTGCTTTCCGCCTCAGGGGCCCGCCTGTTCTGGATATTTCCTATAAACGAATCTCACAGGATGGGACCTTTGGTATCTGGCTCCTTTCGCGTGCAATGTTTTGAGGTGCATCCCTGCAGCAGAAGGTCACTCCTCTGCATGACTGACTGACAGTCCGATGCACATTCGGGTATCTGTCACATTCCGTTTGTCCATCACTCACTGACGGACATTTGGGCTGTTTCCACCTTTTGTCTACTGTGAATGGTGCTGCTATGAACGAATGGACATATGTTTGTTTAAATTCCTGTTTTCAATTCTTTCGAGTATATTGCTGGGACACACGGCGATTCTATGTCTAACTTTTTGAAGAGCTGCCAAATTGCTTTCCACAGAGGCTGCACCGCTTTATATTCCCACCGGCTATGTACCCGGGTCCCGCTTTCCCTACACGCTCACCAACACTGGCTGTTTCTCTGTGGTCACTGCTGTCCTAGCAGGCGTGGTGTTCATGTCCACGTCCCTACCGGCTAATGCCTGGGAGCAGCTTTTACTGATCATTTGTCTATCTGCCTTTTATTTTTTCTACCCCCATTCATCCCCTTTATGGATACCTTTTTTTGGAGAAAGATCTATGTATTTCAAGTTCTTTGCCCATTTTTTAAATTGGATTGTCTTTTTGTTGTTGAGCTGTAAGCATTCTTTATACACTAGTATGCTAGACTCTAGATTTTTATCAACGCATAATGTGCAGATATTTTCTCCGACTTTGTAGGCTGTATATGACTTGCTTGATAATGCCTTTTGATGCACAAAAGTTTTTAATACTGAAGAAGTCCAATTTATTTTTTTCTTTTGTCACTCCTCTTTTTGATGTCACTGCCAAATCCAAGGTCATGAAGATCTACCCTTATGTTTCTTGTGAGAATTTCATGGTTTTAGCTCCTATATTTAGGCTGAGTTGATTGTAGGGTGATTTTGTATACAGTGTAAGGAAGGGTCTACTGTATTCTTTGGCATGTGGCTATCCAGTTGCCCTAGTACCGTTCCTTAGAGAGACTATTCTTTACCCATTGAACGGTCTTGGCTACCTTGTCAAAAATCAATTAGAGGCCCAGCCTTAATATTCCTTCCTCCTTTGGACTTAATACTGCTCACGGCTCATCGGGCATTTCCTGTCTCCAGTCCTGCCGTGGCCAGCACCCCTCTTCAGGTGCAAGCACAGTCCTGGAGCGAGACAGGGCGGTGGCAGGCCCGGGAAGACCTCGGTCTGTGGGGACCATGGACTCCTGGGGAAGGGAGCCGGCTTATCGGTACATCTCCCCTGGCCTCAGCTCCGGATGGAAGGCCAGGAAGGAGCCGGAACCTGGGCCTGACCCCTCAGTGCCTGAGGCTGGGCCACGGCGGAGGCAGGGCAGGCAGTGACTGGGCAGAGCCCAAGTTCCCCTCCGTTCATGCACGACGGAGCGGGGGAGGGGTGGAGATTGCTTGCTTCTCCCACCAGGTAGATGCCAGTGCTCAGTGTTCCCGCAACCAGACCTGAGCCCTCAGCAAGGCTAGAAAAGGGACCCAGCAGGCAGAGGCCGGTCTGAGGGAATATAATTCACACTCAGCGAAAGAGGAGTGCTGGGGAGAAAGACAATAGCCACCTCAGCGTATCCAGCACGGAAAGGGCACTTAAGGAGACTCAAGTCTAACACAGGGAGACTTTCTGGAAATACTAAACAAATACTAAACAAATGCTGGGACTTGACCATACAATATACAGAGGATGTATTATAGAATGGTACGCCCGAAACCTATATAATTTTATTAACCAATGTCACCCCACTAAATTCAATTTTTTAAAAAGGTTACTTTTGTTTAAGTGTAAAAACAGTGGTTATGTGGGTTTTGTTCCCTTGGGGTTTTTCTTTTTTAAAAGTATAAATTAATTTTTTATGTTAAAGTCATAAAAACTAACTATTTTACAGTGAACAATCCAGGGGTGTTTGACATATGTCACAGGGTTGTGTGAGCACCACCTCTATCCAGTTACAGCAGTTTTTCATCTCTGCAAAAGGAAACCTTGAAGTCCCAGCTTTGTTTTTTAAAGAACTCTTCCTAAGCGATAAGATGAATTATTTAACGGGGTTATTTCGGGATGAAATGGTATGATGTCCGGGTGAGGCGGGGAGAGTGAGCAGGGGTGCAGATGAACAAGGTTGGTCACACGTTGATAGTTATTGAGACTGGATGACAGAAACGTTGCCTATTGATAACTTGCAATTGGAAGATGGGATTCATTATACTCCCCTCTATACTTTTGAATGTATCCAAACATTTTTGTTATTAAGAAGCTAAAATATGCAAAGTGTGCCTTTTTCACTAAGTTATCAGATGAAATGAAGACAGAATAGTCCCTGTTGGGATCCAGTTTAGTGGCATAAAAGATCAAGTGAGGAAATACTTCAAAGGCCGGTGGTGGGGGGAGGGGGGTTGAGGGGGAGATATAATTTAGAAAAGTAAAAAAAAAATGAGAGAAAAGTTAAGAAATTTTAGACTAGATCCAGGAGAGCCTAATCTATAAGTTCCAGAAGGAGAAAAAGAAATGAGGAAAGTCCTGAACTACATATAAAAAACACCAGCAGGTCCACTCTGGACTGGATGACAAAGCAGCATACCACCAGCACATCCCGGGAGATCGCTAGCTAAAATCCCCGATTTTCTCCGAAGGGACAGAGAAAACGCTACATGCTTCCAAGTGTAAAGACCTAGTTATGGTCTCCTGCAAAGCAAAGGAACAAGCAGGCATCACACTTCTTCTCTGCCTCTCTGGAAGGTGGAGCAACAAAAAGTGCTATCTATTAGGCTGAGAGAAAGACAGGACCCCAAATCCTGTATCTGGTCAAGGTATCCTTCCCTAAGAAGACTGGTGAGAAAATTAGTAGCTTTATGATATCCTAGGAATGAAAATGAAGAAAATATTCTATTCACATTTGTAATAAAAATTATGTTACTCAGAATGAATTAGACCATAAACACATTGGACCTACATGAAAAAATATTTAAATGTTAAAAAAGAAAAGAATCTTAAAAACAAACAAACAATCCAACTAGGTCTATATGTGCATATTAAGGGCAAAGTAGTCCATTTTAATAAGGACTAGAATCCTAGAAACTCCTGAAGAAAATATATTAAACTATGTAAAAATAAAATACACTTATAAATGGCAAAAAATACTTTGAGAAAAGTCAATAGGCAGATGATGGGTTTGGGGAAAAAAAATTACAGATTATTATTTATATTATTCTAGAGGCCTGGTGCACGAATTTATGCACCAGTGGGATCTGGCTAGCCTGCCCCGCTAGGGGCTGTGGATGGTTGGCCAGCTGGCCCCTACCCCCTAGTGAACTCCTGGTTGAGGGGACAATTTGCATACCATATTAGCCTTTTATTATATAGGATAAAGAACTCTTAAAAACTGGCAAGAAAAAGACATACAACACAGTGGAAACATGGGTAGAGAATAATTCATGTAAGAATTCAAAGGCAATCCACATGAAAAGATTTTCACATTCGTGAGTAGAAAAAAGAAAATTAATATCACTTTGTTTTCCTTAGACTGGCAAACATTTAAAAGAGGTAATAACTACTTATCATTCGCCGATAGAAATGTAACTTGCTACAACATTTAAAAAAAAAAAGCGAACTAGTGCCTGGCCTGTGTGGCTCAGTGGTTGGAGCATCGTCCCATACAGAGAAAGGTGGTGGTTCCATTTCAGCTGAGGTACATACCCAGGTTGCGGGTTCGATCCCCAGTTGGGGAGGGAGGCGGTGTGGGAGGCAGCTGATTGATGTTTCTCTTCCCCCTTCTCTCTCTAAAATCAATTTAAAAAAAAAACAAACCAAATTATTAAAATAAAAAAT